CTTTGGGGTGTGTCATTTGTGATATAAATTAAATCCTGCTCTGGTGTGGTCTGAAGCTGGCACAAGATGTGTAAGTTCTGGAGCCTCTTGGGAGGGGCTCCAGTGTAGGCTCAGGTCAGCCACTGTCTGTGCCCAGCCCAGGACCACCTAGTAGGGGCTACACAGTGATCTGAGATTTGTAACTCCCTGTGCTGGGCTTGGAGGTACTTTAAGTTGTTAATGCTGTATGCCAAGGCTGGCTGCCCCCAGTTCTTTTCTTGGGGTTGCTTAGTAAGAGGTCCAGGGCACACCAAGGCCAATGACTGCTTGCTTGGGGTTTGTGGACTTATGAGAGATTCTAGGAAATTTGGCAGTATGGGCCCAGGTCAGTGGCTTCTAGGGATTACTCTCTGTTACTGTGATTTACTCTTTCAATTCATCTTGTCGTTTTCCCCAGATAAGTTATTACTATTGTTCTTTCATACAGTCAGTGTTTGTTTCTATGTATATTTACTTTTTTAAACGTTTATTGAATTTTTAAATAAACGTTTAAAAACTATATAGGTTTCAAGTGTACACTTTTATACTACATCATCTGTATACTGTATTGTGTGTTCACCACCCAAAGTCAAGTTTCCTTTGATTACCATTTATCCCCCCTTTACCCTCTTCTACTTCTAACCACACCTCTTTCCCTTTGATGATCACCATATTGTTGTCTGTGTGTGAGGTTTTTTTGTTTGTTTAATCCCTTAACCTTTTTCACCTAGCCCCCCAAACCCCTTCCTCTCTGACAGTTGTCAGTTTGTTCTTTATGTATGAGTCTGTTTCTATTTTGTTTATTTTGTTCATTGGATTTCACAAATAAGTGAAATCATATGGTATTTGTCTTTCTCTGACTGATTTATTTCAATTACATATATTTACTTTCTGATTATAAATATCATGTAACATTATACAAAAATCAAATATTGAAAACTACTTAACACAGAATATATCCCAAATAATCTCCCCCTGTGGGGGGATTATTCTCCACCATCCACATTTGGTAGTCTGCTCTAAGAACTAGAAGTCAGCTTCTCAGTGAGAGTAAGGGCAGTGATGCCATGAAGAAGCATAAAAAAAATGGGCTTCAGCACAGCCCTGCTCTGATTGGTTGTTTCTGGAGGAAGAGTTCATACAAACCTGAGTGGAAATTGCTCCCTCTGGTTTTGTTCCCACAACAAGGGTCTGGAAGATGTGTTCGTAAGAACATACATGAAGTAAAATCCTGAAACTAGAAAGGAAATGGGACCCTTTACCATTCTTCCTAACCTCATCCCCCTCCCAGTTCCCACGTACAAGTACATGTGAACACACACTCAGTTTTCATCCTAAACCTTTTAGGACTTGACTCCTCTCTCTAGAGTGAATTGAGTGGTGCCTCTTGATAAGAAGTGTTTCTGAGAAAGAATGCTTGATATGGATCCAGCCATAGCCCAGAAAATATTCCCAAAATCACTAACATTTAAATAATCTCACAAAGGACCTAAGAGGATTTAAAAGCTTGTATCATGATTAAGAGTGTACAACAATAAAGAAAAAAGAGTGTAAGCTCTGGAGCCTTAGTGCCTAAGACTGAATCTTGGCTCTGACATTAGCCATGAACTTCAACAGTTCACTTCATTTTTCTACATCTTCGAATCTTCATTTGCAAAATGTGGGATAGTATCAGTACCTACCTCATAAGGGTTGCTCTGAGGATTGAATGAAATAATGCATATAAAGCACAATGTGAGACATATAGTAAGTGCTCACTAATATTAGTTATTATATAATTGTCTCACAGTACCTCACAGTCTTTATATGTGCCCATAGTCTTTAAAGCATTTGTGGGACAAATGAAATTGAAAACAATTCATTTGCATCATCAATTTCAACCTTTTTCATTTCATGGCATATATAAACTAATTAATAAAATTCTGCAGCTGTTGGGAGCTGCCCTGCCTGGTTTCAGGAGCTGTAACCCCACCACAGCTAAGGCTGAGTGAGCGACCTTCAGACCATAAGCCTCTAAAGAGACAATGCTTATCTCCTTAGCAGGAGTGCCACTTCTGCTCCTTTACTTTATCCATAACTGGCCCCCAATGCTTGATCAGTTAGCCAATGACGGGTAAGATTCCCCAAGGGGGGAACGACCTAAGACAGGCATGATCACATCGAAGGCCCCCAAGAAAGGATTTGGGGGACTACAGCAAAAGGGGGTGATGGATCCTTGCCCCTTGGCTTTGACAAAGCCTGAGTTCTCATTCTGCCTTCGAGAAGTCTTCTAATCTCTTGGCTGTCTTGCTCCCTCTGCCTGACTTAATCCTGAAACAATGACAGAGGGTGGTGCAGCCCTGTGCTAGAAAGGGCAGGTTCCCTGGGTGATCAGGCCTGAGAAAGAATACATAAACTCCTGTGAAACCTGCTTCACTAAGAATGCCCTTGATTAAATGATAAAGGTCTGGGCAGGAAATGAGTTTGCTTCCCAGAGTTTTGTGGCCCATTAGCTAACAGACCCTGACTCAGAATAGGCCCTCAGAGTTCTTTGTATGTTATCTGTTGTTTGATCCTTACTGTCTGACAATGATTAATGAACTTTACCTGTATTCCTGGGCAAATTAAAAGCCAATAAAAACCCTGTGAAGGAAGGATCGGGCACTCTCCTTTGAGAGAGTGGCCAGGCTGCTCCAAGGCACCCTCCCCTTGAGAGGGTAGCTGGGTCATCCTTTTTCCTCCACAGGACTCGGTAGTCCATGTGAATTTATCTCATGTCTCATCCATGACGCCTCGGACACTGCAGGCTGGTGTCTGCATCATGCAGCACCACAAATACATACGTTTTTTTCTAACCTGTCAAAAATAGATATAATTTTGATTCATTCATACTGGATGGCTATTGCTGTGTGCGCTGTTGTCATTTTTTTACTTGACAGCCTAAGAGAAAAGAGGTCAGGGCCCCTGACTAAATAGTCAGGTATTGCATGTTTTAAAAATTCTTGTGGAGGTACACCACTTGAAAAACACTGGTTTATATGATACATTTATTTACCATGTCCACTTGCCCATACTTAGCCAACCAAATTTCCAATATGAGAAAAGTTGTTGTTACAGTTGCCTATATCCTTTACTCCAACCTGTAGGCCTGCCTTCCTCTTCCAAGACCAATTTACAGGCCCAATTTCTGCCTTCTCTCCCACTCAGTCAGACCTGCTCCTACATGAGTACTCTGCATTGCTTTTAAGATGACAGAGGGTAAAAAGAGAGTAGTTAATTAAAAAAGTGTTTGCAGGTGAAAAGGAGGCACTTCCCCTGCTGTAGCACCATATTCCACAATTCTGTCTTCTGTGTAGCTGGAAGACTACTGTAGAACAGAAAGGCCACTGCCTATAGGAGGTTCTGGTGATTCATCTGTACAATATATCATTAGAGTTTCTTCAAATCCTTGGGTAAGGGCAGCAGGTTTTTCAGGTCAGAAGCTACTCCACACCTTTCACCCTAAACTTCCTGCATTCCCAGAATATTAATTCACTGAGGCTGGGGAGGATGAGGATACATTGGGAAAATATACCTGGTTCAGTACCAGGACATGCTTTTCCACCCTGTGTATCTCCATTCTAGCTCTAATTAACCTGCCTAGCTCAGTGTGTCTCTAGTTTCCAGAGCACCTACTCCTTAAGTAGCTGGTTCACATGGCTTTTATGGGCCAAATTATAGTTCTACACTGATTCTTCTTTTAATGTAGGGCATATTAACCACTTGGGAGAAATTCTTGTATGAATTCCAAAGAAGTGTGTTCTTCTGGTGGTCTGATAGATTATTTCTTTTAAATTCACCTCGAATCAGAAGGCAGCAGTGTGAGCTTTTCATAATCATAATCACCTAAATCTCTTTTTCATCATGAAAGGTGGAATGAGGGAGTTGGGTTGACAAAGGAAATCTCCACTGCTCCAAAATAAGTCTCTTCAGTCTCCCCCAAATTAAGTACTATCCAATCCTTTTAGCCCCCAACAATGGTTGAAGATGGTGAAAACCACACTAGATATGCCAGAAAATAACAACCCTGCTGCCTACATAGAAGGGGGAGTTCCTGTAACATGTCCTGACACTGAATAAGAGGAAGGGAAATGGCTGAAGATAAATTCTTAGCATGATCCCAAGAGTAAAATTGGATGGGAATGAGAAATTTTAGTTTGGACTATTCACAATTCCTACAGCAATTGTGGTGCTAAATAGTCAGATATTGCATGTTTTAAAACACGCTACTAATGGCCCTGGCTGATGTAGCTCAGCGGATTGAGATTGTGACTGTGAACCAAAGGCTGCTGGTTCTATTCCTAGTCATAGCACATGTTTGGGTTGCAGGCCAGGTCCCTGGTAGGGGGTGCTTAAGAAGCAACCACATATTGATGTTTCTCTCCCTCTTTTTATCTTTAAAATTTAAAAAAAAAAATACATGCTACTAATGAATTCTTCTCACCTACCTAATCTGTGAGGGGCAAGCATAAGTTAGGTAAATGCCAGGACTCTTGATCCCAGTAGGCAGTGGTTATAGTAACCTCAATTCTTTTGTTAACTTAGAGGCATCCAATGACATCCCCATCAAAAGACCCAAATGATTTGAAGTGTAAACATTGAGATACATGAGAAAAGGAGACCTGCATTCATCCACTGGGGATATAAGAATGATAAACATATGCACTTAATTAGAAAATAAAATCCTGTGTCAGATGATTTACTGTGATCTGGTTTCCCTCCTCTGCCTCCACTCTACCTTGGAGTGTCAGCCTCCATCCTAACCCCAAACAACATGAAGGTGATATCTAGCTATTATTACCTTCTCTCTCCCTTAAAGAAAACCAAAGCAGCAAAATATTCAAGACAGTAGAAGACATAATAAAATCTTTATTTCTCCACACATTAGAAACATTTTAATTACAATTCAGCTTTTCTAAGGTTCCTATCAAGTAGTAAAATGCCAAAAGCACAGAAAAGCAGGGTTGGAGAGAATCCCTTGTAATGAGGCACAAAATGAGAGGTTTTACTCAATTACCCCACTGTACAAGCTGCAGGCCCATGCAGGACCCTGAGTAAAACAATCATTCTGGTATATGCCCTGAAGGAATCCTACTCTGCACTGCCTCCTCAGAATATGCCTACAAGGGGCCACTGAAAGGAGTGGTCCTTGATGAATGGTCATTAGTAAAATCCTAATGAAGAGCTAACTTGTTTGGGGAGAAGCTCTTTTAACAGTTGGGGTTTTCTTTTTAACCAGAGTTTCCCATTGGAATTAAAGACCCCAGCTACACTTACAGTTGCAGGTTCCACATTGGTTAGATTGTTTCCTGAGGGGTATCCATAAGTGGTAAGTGGTTACATCCTCTGATCAGTCAGGATATATTCTGGTTGGATTCTGGGCCTTCAGCTCAGCCCAGGGAAAGCTTGATAATGTACCTTAAGCAAATGAACAGAGCTGGAAGGTCATAGGGAGCCTAAGGGGCATGGAGGTAAGGTATTCTGTAGGGAGGCGAGAGAGCTGACCTGTGTGGGAAGTGTAAATTGCATCTCTGACCCTCCTGGATATGTGGTAGCTACCCTTGTGCTCAAACATAGTAGTCAATCTTAAAGAAGTAAACCCTATTTGGGGGCTGCTCTTCCTTCTGAAAGGTTTACCAGAAAACTCAAGAAAATGTACTGGTGAGTAGTCACCTATGAGCCTCATCCTCTCCTTCAATTTCACAGTTGCTCTTGGCCACATTAAACCCATTTCCAAATACCCAGAAGATAGAATCAGACAATGCTTTGCCTTTCTTCAGGATCAAAGGATGGTTCCAAGTTCTCAACCCTGCCCTGAGAGTGCTGGTGGCAGCAGACACAGTGGAGGTAGTCCACTATGTTGTGGGTGAAGAGTGAGCGCAGTGGATGCAAGTATTGGAAGAAAAGGAGCATGAAGCCAATGGAAATCAGGTAAGCAATAATAAGCTGCAAGGCAATCAAGGAATGACAGTAATTCAGTAATACTTTCACTCCAAAGAATTTAAAAACCAGGACCATGATCACATTCTCCACCAATCTCACACTATAGTGCAGGCCCATATGTCCCCAGTTCTGACCTTTTTCAACAAGGTCCCTGTCTGCCAACTTCAACTGCAAAGCTGACCAGCATGAGAAGTTGATGCCAGCGTAGAGAACAGTAATGGAAATCAGCACTGTCAGGGTGCCAACCTGGCTGAAATTTTTTTCAATGTTATTAGGCATCTGGGCACCACTCCTCCAAAATTTAACCCAAGGCTCAAAGAGGATTATCAGGAAGTTGAGCAATAAGAAGGGCACAGCCTTCAATTTCAAAGTGGCTGAGAAGAGCACCAGAATCAGGAGACGGGAAGTGATCTCCAATGTCCTCCAGATGGTGATACAGAGGACTTCTAGCAGCCCAAGGCGAATCTTGTATTCATCGTACTTGATCTGGATAGCCAACATATTGCAGAGAGTAGCCCCATAGGTGACAGATATCAGGGAAAAGACCATTAGCACAGCTGTAAGAAGGAAAAAAAGAAACAAAAAATAGGCATTCAGTCAATGTTGGTGAAGCTTATATTCTGACCTAGAGATCCAGAAAGATGATAGGTAAGACTTGAGGGCCCCAGTTAAGAGTAAACTCATGTATCAACACAGCTATGTAAATAATAGCATGCACAGAATGAAAATGGAAAGAAATATACTAAAATATATATTTTCATATAGGGATTATATCAATTTTTAAAATAATTTTTCTCTTTCTGTTTTCTAAATTTCCCATGAACATATACTGTAACATTTTAATAATCATATAAATGTACACAATGAACTTTAAAAATAAGTGGGTCTGAAAACTAGCATTGAGACTCTACTAACACTAGCAGAGCACATATAGAGAGATAGGACAGCATCTATCTGTTGAAACAGGATTCTGACCAAAAAATGAAGAAAGCAGAAAAAAATGTTATCTGAAAAAATCCAGTCTTAGGAGATTCACAGAGAATTCCTTTGTTTATAGAAGTTTTTTCCTTGATATGTATCTTCTTCAACAAACTAATCTTGTTTGTGGGCACTTCTAGAATTTATCAAAATGTATACTGGAAATTCCATGAGGGCAGAAGGGACCAAGTCTGTTTTGTTTACTGCTGCATCCATAGAGCCTAACATAATGCCTGGAATATAGTAAGTGTTCAATAAATGTTTGTGGAAATAATGAAGAATTCTGAGTTTAGAGAGGCCTTGGTTCAGCTGTATGGAAGCTTGTGAAAGTCACTTCAGTTCCCCCAATTCACTGAAATACTCTAGAGTTGCTTATATTAATCATCGTCAATGGCAATTTGTCACCCCAATACTTTGTTATACTTTAGGAATTGTCAAGCTTCTAGCAGAATGCTTTAAAATATAAAAACTTCATTTCTTTGCCTACAACATCCATACCACTGTATGTTAGAGTAGGGGCCTGAAGGGTTAGAATACTTCCTGACCTGCTATACAAAATTTCAACTATAGATCACACCAATGCCCTTTACATCAAAGGATATTTGTAACTAAGAAAAGTCTAGTACTCTCAAGGAGAATAAGGGGGCCTGAGGGGTACTTGTCCAAAAAAAAACAAAATAGTTGGAGTTTTCTGTTTCCATAAAAACACTGCATCCAGGGAACTAGAGCAGTAGAGATAATCTGCAAGAAGTGACAACATCCCCATGGCCCTAAAAACATGTGCAGCTTTGTTTTCTACATCTTTTTCAACTCTAAGTAGAGTGTTGGAATCTCAAAGACTGCAATGGGAGATTTTCTTAAAATGTCTATTTTGCCCTGGCTGGTATAACTCAGTGGATTAAGCATGGGCTATGAACCAAAGGGTCACCAGTTCAATTCCCAGTCAGGGCACATGCCTGGGTTGTGGGCCAGGTCTCCAGTGGGGGCCATGTGAGAGGCAACCACACATTGATGTTTCTCTCCCTCTCTTTCTCCCTCCCTTCCCCTCTCTAAAATTAAATAAAAAATATTTTTAACAAGTCTATTCTTAGCTTTAGTTTTTATATTTTCCCATTTTTATTGAGATGTAACTAAAAAATAACATTGTATTAGTTTAAGGTGTGTAACATAATTATTTCATATAGTCTTAGCTTTATAAACCACTCTCAGTCCCATGCTCAAGACTGGATACTCAAGAGTTGGAATGCCAGAGTATATGTACATCTATCCAAGTGTGATAATGCTTTCCCTTAAATTGGAATTCATTTATTGATAGTAGTTGTAATAAAAGAAGGAAAACCTGATGCTTCCAATAAATGTAAAAACACCTTCCATTTGTCTCCCTACAAATAGACTCATGGCATGAGAGATCATAATGCTGATGGTAAATTTGGTCATCTATTCTAATCCAGATGGCCTCCAACAGAAAAAGGGATTAGGAGAAATATAGTAAGGAGAAGATAGGAAGGAAATTAAACCAAGAGGTTTTTTATAAAATCTTAAAAAGAGATGGCATTGTCATAAAGTTTTTTTTTTAATTTTTGGTCTATTATTGGCTACCTTTTTTTTAAGAGTTTTATTTATTTACCTTTTAGAGAGTGAAGGGAGGGAGAAAGAGAGAGAGAAACACCAATGTGTGGTTGCTGGGGGTCATAGCCTGCAACCCAGGCATGTACCCTGACCAGGAATTGAACCTGTGACACTTTGGTTCGCAGCCCGTGCTCAATCCACTGAGCTATGCCAGCCAAGGCTGCATTGTCATAAAGTTTTTAATAGGAGAAATCACCGAAAAATTGAAAACAAGGCCTTGAAAAAGCTTCCTTTACACCCTTTGAATAGTAGTATAGTTAGAAACACAGGCTCTAAAGGCAGACATCCTGAATTCTAATCCAGTCTTTGCCCCCTATTACTTATGGAACTTTGGGGAATTTGCTTAACTTCTCAGTGCTTCTATTTCCTCGTTTGTAAAATGGATATAACAACAATAATTTTCCCATAGAAATGTTGTGAAGACCAAATGAAATAATTAAATGTAAATGGCCTAGAGGAATGCCTGGAACATAGTTAATGCTATCTGCTAACTCCTATCATCATCACCATCCCCTGTTTCCAAGAGTGTAGTGGGTGCATTTACTTAGGCACTACCTTGACACTTTGGAAATCAGGTGATTTTAAAACTGATAGAACACCTAGAAATAAGCCTTACAAAAATGTGCAAGTCCTATAGCAAGAATAGTTATCTTGCTATAGGTCTTTCACACTAATGTCATAGATGGTGATGATGGCATCTCATAGTGGTGAGATTTCATGGAGGTATACTTATCTCCAAACTCATCAAGTTGTATAAATTAAATGGGTAAGGGTTTTTGTTTGTCCATCATATCTCAATAAAGTGATTTAAAAATATTTAATGAAATGAAGAGATATATTTTCTTCTAATATGAAATTAATTGATCCTATAAGGATGTAAATGTCCTCCAAAACAGCCTAAATAATTTAATATAATCCAAATCACAGCCTCAATGAAATGTTATTTCATTTGTTGCTATTGTTTGCTTTGTTTTTGTTTTTTGGTGGGGACTCGACAAACTGATTGTGGAAAAACATCTGTTTGGAAGATCAGGTTAAATTACTCTATCAGCCATGGCTGGTGTGGCTCAGTAGATTGAGCACAGGCCTGCGAACCAAAGAATCACCAGTTTGATTCCCAATCAGCACACATGCCTGGGTTGCAGGCCAGGTCCCCAGTAGGGGGCGTGTAAGAGGCAACCACATATTGATATTTCTCTCCCTCTTTTTCTCCCTCCCTTCCCCTCTGTCTAAAAATAAATAAATAAAATCTATAAATAAATAAATTGCTCTATCACATGTGATTTGTGAGAGGCCTTTATAAAAAAGGCACAAGTTCTAAAAGCAATAATTTAAATACATAAAAACCTAATCCCTCAGAATGCCTGAAGATACAGGTATATTATCTTACACATGCATTTCATGTGTACTGAACACTACATGTATGACATGCACAGGCATGTTTAAAATGTGTGTGTACACAAACATGACACAAATGTATACATATATACATACTTGTTGTCCAGGGTAGAGAGAGGATTAATAGGCAGAATAAGTAAATAGCTCCTACAAATAAAAAGATAAAGCCACTAAAAGAGTAAAACATATAAATAAGCAATTTAAAGAACATAATGACCAAACATGAAAAGATGCTCATCTTCATTCATAATAAAGGATGCATTATTTTTTAAATCAGTTATTTTATAATTACACAATTAAATAATACTTAGTTTAAGATACGAAGAAACAGGCACCTTCATGTACTGTTGGTGAGAATATAAATTCATACAACCTTCTGGGAGGGTTACTTGGCAGTACTGATAAAATTCTAAACATGCATATCCTTTTACCCAGCAATTCTACTGATCAGAATTTATCATACAAAGTCTCATTCCAATACACAGATGTTCACTGGAGCACAGTTTATAATTAGAAATAATGTTTTGCATGGAAAAATTAGAATTAAACTTTAATCCTACCAATACAAGATTAGGGAATTAAGAAAGAATGGTCCAGTTCATATTGGAGAAATATATATATTATACATTTATCATTATTATTATTATATATGTATGTATAAATAACTGTTGAAGAAAAACATACTGGCTTACCTCTGAAAAGACAAGTTGCTGAGTAGAATGTTTAATACAGTCCTTTTTTGGCAAAAATATACATACATACAACATATATGTAGTATACATTTACATAGTAAAACACACATACAACATATATGTTGTATACATTTACATAGTAAAATGAAGTCTGGAAGGATATTATTGAATGATTAAAAGAGATTACCTTTGGGAAGTGAAACTACATCTCCTCTTTCATATGTATATATGTTCTGTATGGTTATGAATATTTATTAAATTTTATAATTGAATAATAAGGATAAAATAACATTAAAATTTAACATTAAAAGGATCAAAAATAATAAAACATGATAATGATAAAAATTCAAACCATATAGAAGGGTATAAAGTACAAAGTAAAAGTTGGCTGACTAATTTCCACTCCCCAGAGGTAAATTGTTTCTTGCATATCTTTCCAGAAATTTTTATGTGCATATACAATTACCTGTAAGTCAATTGGCTTGTGCATGTATTACTTTTGTAATGTATACATATTTTTTTAAATTTATTAGTACATACATCTGCCAGCTATATGAGAGCTTGCCAGGCCAGCATTCACGTCAGACTGACTCTTATCAGTTTTGTTTTTTAAAGATTATTTATTTATTTATTTCCAAAGAAGAAACGGAGGGAGAAAGAGAGAGAGAGAAACATCAATGTGCGGTTGCTGGGGGCCATGGCCTGCATCCGAGGCATGTGCCCTGACTGGGAATCAAACCTGCAATGCTTTGGTTCGCAGCCCATGCTCAATCCACTGAACTACGCCAGCCAGGGCTTATATACATATTTTAATTAGATGATTTGATGACCATCAAAATTCTCAGGAGGAAAAGTATCTTCATTTCCAGAGATCTTTCTCCTTTCACTATTGTTCATTCTAGGTATGTGAAAAGCTTCAAGACTAATAGAACTTCATGAACAATTCTTAGTGGAGAAAAATACAAAAGAGGGGAAAATTTCCTCCTTACATTTGAGACATGGGGCTTTGCCAAGTAAGGTCAGCACCTAATAATAAGGAAATGGTCCAAAGTTGTACCCAGAGCTGTACCAGTTCCAGCCCAAGCAGGCTAATCCTAAACTATTAAAACTCATTAACAGTACTGTATCTTGACTTTGAAAACACTGACTCACATTTCATCTTCTTGTGAAGGTCTTACTCATTTTAGGATCCCTTTTACAAATGGAAAATTAAGATAGAGATGTCTTTGGTAACTTCCTCTGATGATCACAGAGAAGGTCAGAACTGGGACCAGGCCTGACTCTCATCAGTATTCAATCCACACCCATTTTAGAAATTTCGCCCCATGGAGTTGGGAAAAGTGATTATATCACTGGCTCCCAAGTGTGGCTGATCAGAATCAACAGAGTGCATTAAAAAATACAGATTCCTACCCTCCCCACATTCAGATTGATTCAGGTCTTAGTAGAAAATGTAATTTTAAAAAGGAGCTTCATGATCAGTAATATTTGGGAACCTCTTATTTAAATATAGTCATCCCTAAACCAACCAACGAACCAAGCAAACAGACAGTCAAACAATTCTCAGTATAATTTAAACACTCTGGGCTAGTAAAAATGTTCTACTGACTATTGGTACTACTTGCTTCTTCTGAAAGAGTTTATTACTAGCCTAGAGAGAGTTTATGTATGGCATTTTTAGTCTAAATAACTTATCCCAGTTAAAGAAATCTGGGAGACCTGAGATGTTTGGATCCCCAAGTTCCTTGACTATCTGCCTGTGCTGTCCAATAGAACTTTTTATAATGATGGAAGTGTTCTGTAATGTGCATGCTGTCCAATAAGTGACCACTAACCACATGTAGCTATTGAACACTTGAAATACAGCCATTGTGACTGAGAGTGTAAATCTTTAATTTTTCATTTTAATAGCCACAGGAAGCTGTTGGCTACTGTATTGGATAGCTCAGGTCTAGATTTCTAAGACGGTTGATTTAAGTGGAGCCCTCCCCCATCTTGACCCCACTCACCTCTACCCAGGGGGACCTCTGCAGAGATCAGAGTCACATAGAGCTGATAGGTCAGTTGGGGCACTGAACCCAGGAAAGCTTGGATCTGTGACATACGTTTGTAAGCATTGCGGTGCATAGCCAAAGTCCGGATGGAGTGTCCCACCTCCCATTCTATCATCACCTCCTCGCCATTTATTAGCATCTTCTTTCGGGTGAGGCTGACATAGGGCTCCTCCTGCCCTTCTTTCTTCCACAGTGTGAGGTACTTAATCATGGCCTCCAGACATCTGCAGAAGTAAAGCATCACGGGAACTTAACTAAAGCTATCCTGGGAAGGGAGGTTTTAGTGAGTGGGAGAAAATAACTCAGAGAAGTGTGACACTTTTTTGCCATTCCTTTTCTCCCATCATACTCATTTTTCGTGAGTCAAAGAGATGGTCATGCCTTCTACAACTTACTTGAGTCTAAATCCATTTTTCTTTTAGTCAATCATCCACTGACCTAAGAACACCATTTCGGAAGCGTTTCTTTAAGAAGTTAAGGAATTGCTTTATCTCCTTAAGAATAAGCCTATGGACTTCCGGCAAGATGAAGGAATAGGTGAACGCACCATACCTCCTCGCACAACCAAGATTAGAACAACAATAATTTGCAGGCAGAATATCACTCAGAACTGATAGAGGATTTATCTGAATGGAAGTGGGACAGCCAAGAAGTTGAAGTAGACCCGTACATCCGGACTGGTAGGAGACGACGAGCTGGGCAGGCGCGGGGCTGGCGCGGGTCAGCAGCTCGCGGAGGTAGGGGAAAATTTGGCACGAAATCGGCGCGACGGCCATCCGGGGCGCAAGAAAGCAGCGGTGATCCCTGAGTACGCAAGCTGTAGCTGGCGGACCCAGTGAGGCAGCGATTGTGGACCAGGGCAGAGCTCACAGCCCAGGATCCCAAAGAAGGGTCTGAGCCCAGGAGAATGGAACTACCGCCATTGTTTGCCCCCGCCCCCACATATAACGTCACAATCTAGTGACTGGGGTGCCCAGCCCCGGTGAACACCTAAGGCTCTGCCCCCCACTGTAACAAGAGCGACCAGACTGGGGGAAAAAAGAAGGAGAGACAGGGAAAGACATAAGACATGTTTCCAACAAAACAGATCAGTCCCCCAGGACTCATCCTTTTGAGCAACCAAGAAATAGCCAATCTATCAGGTGCACAGTTCAAAACACTGGTGATCAGAAAGCTCACGGAATTGGTTGATTTTGGGTGCAATTTAGATGAAAGGATGCAGGTTACCATAAAAGAGATGCAGGAAGATACGCGGAGGAGAGCCAATAGTGAAAGGAAGGAATCTGAGTCTCAAAACAATACAGTGGACCAGAAGGAAGATAGAAACAACCAAGCAGGAAAGCATGATGAAATAAGAATTAAAAAAATTGAGGAAAAGCTTAAGAGCATCGAGGACACCTTTAAACGTTCCAACATCTGAATTATAGGGGTACTAGAATGGGAAGGAGAAAAGCAACAGATGGAGCACATATTTGAACAAATAATAAAGGAGAACTTCCCCAATCTGGCAAAGGGAACAGTCTTCCAAGAAATCCAAGAAGCTCAGAGAGCCCCAAAGAAGTTGGACCCAAGAAGAAACACACCAAGGCACATCATAATTACATTAGCCAAGGTAAAAACGAAGGAGAGAATCCTAGAAGCAGCAAGAGATAAGGGGACAGTAACCTACAAAGGAGTTCCCATCAGACTGTCAGCTGATTTCTCCAAAGAGACCTTACAGGCAAGAAGGGGCTGGAAAGAAATATTCCAAGTCATGAAAGACAAGGACCTACATCCCATATTGCTCTATCCAGCAAAGCTCTCATTTAGAATGGAAGGGAAGATAAAGTGCTTTTCAGATAAGGTCAAGTTAAAGGAGTTCATCATCACCAAGCCCTTATTTTATGAAATGCTAAAGGGACTTATCTAAGAAAAGAAGATAAAGAAAAGACATGTATAGTAAAAGGACAGAAAACTCACAATTATTAACAACCACACCTAAAGCAAAACCAAAAGAAACTAAGTAAACAACTAGAACCACAGAACCACAGAACACACAGAACAGAACCACAGAAATGGAGGGCACATGGAGGGCTAGCAGCAGGGGGGTGGGAGGATGAGAGAGGGGGAAAAGGTATAGAGAATAAGCATAGAATGTAGGTTGAAAATAGATAGGGGGAGGGCAAGAATAGTACGGGAAATGTAGAAGCTAAAGAACTCATAAGTATGACACATGGACATGAACTAAAGGTGGGGAACGTAGGTGGGAGAGGGGGTACAGGGTGGAGGGGAGAGAAGGGGAGAAATGGAACAACTGTAATAGCATAATCAATAAAATACATTAAAAAAATAAGCCTATGATTTTGAAAAAGTGACTTAAACACAAAAATATTAAGTAAACAATGGGTTGTGAGAGAATAATGAAGTTTAAAAAGGCTCTGGTTGTTATAACACCTCAAGTTCTTGAGATGAAGTGTTCCTTATTCAAAGCATTCAGCTCCATAACTGGGGCTTTTGAGTTCTGCTTTTTTAAGACAAAACCCACAACTATGATTATGTATGTCTCAGCCAAAAAGTCTTGAAGAGGTTCTGGAAAAAAACCTCTCAAATACATGGAAAAGCCATTAAGCAACAAAGGTTCTTGAAATAACTGATAGTTCAAAAAATAAATGTACTATTTACCTAGGGCACCTCAAAAGATCTTTCTACAGGTTACTTTTGGGGCCTCTTGACCTGTTTGGGGACAACAGCTTTTAAACTCCACTATTTCTTTACAAAGAGGAAAACATCTTCATGAGAGTCTATGCACCTAGAATTAGTGATAAGAGCACATTCCCTGCTGTAGCCATCCCATGTCCCCCACATAAATCAGAAGTCATATGCAGTTCTAGCGTGATGAATATGAGAGAAGCCACTAGAACATCTTGTTTTGGAACACCTGAGTTACCACTTCCTCTATTCACACTGAAATGAGTGGAAACTGTGGACTATTCTTTATGATAAATAAGAGCAGTTGGGATGAAAATTAAGCCATCTTTCCTGACAGACTGAAAGCATGGAGGGGGGTGGATATTTATCTTGCCCAGCACCCTTAATACATAGTGGATATTTGACAAAGCATTACTTGTTGAATAAGTGAAAGAGTGAGAAAGAAGAAAAGAATAGAGGGTGAGAAATAATAGGAGGAGAGAATAATAACAGTAATGGAATTTTTTTTAAAAAAATAGGCTACAGACAAGCAGAGATGTATATGCTCTCTAGGCCTTTGGCTCCCAAGAGGAACATGTGTTAGCTGCCAGTCTCCATAGGATTCCTTTTAGATTGGTGATTGTGTGCCAGTCTGAAGTGTATAGTTTGGCATATCCACTTTCTAGGGACAAACTCTAAAAGGCAGGAGAGGAAAAAATGGAAGGAGAGAACAGACAAGGAAACAAAGTAATATTCTCTTCCTATTTAGAGAAAATTCTTAAGTGAATGTCCAACAGAAGATTTTAGATTTTAACCCAAGTCCATCAATGCTATCGCTGAATAAAATATTGAAGGAGGCAGTGGCATAAAGCATTCTGTTAATGCTTCTATTCTTAAGGACATTTACTGGTTTAAGTAATGGTGTTTGCCTTACTTATAAGCATCAGTAAATTAGAGTACATTTTCATTTCCAGAAGTTAGCTTTGCATTTACATAAGGGAGCTGGGCCCTCCAAACACCTTCATGTATCTAATAGCACTAAGCAAGTTTCTACCTACCTAAAAAGTAATTTGCCTTGAAAATAAGATTATCAAGAATAAAATTTATGAGCTTTTCATTATTTCCCCTATTGTAGGGCTAGCTGAGATTATAAATGCTTTCTAATCATTTCTAGTGGAAGCAAAGTGACAAACATAAAATATAGTACTCAATACCCCACATGGAGGGTCCAAATCAAAGATGGCTTGGGAGGCCACAAAGCAAACAAGGGAAGTCAAAACTGGGGGCTGGTGTGGAACTTTCTAAAATTAACATCTTGAGAGAGTTTCATCTGTTAGCTCAATATATTGCATTTGAAAAGGGAGAGAAAAATGTTTTGCATGCTCCTCTAGTGACAGCTCTAAATTTCTTGCTTCCAAGTTGAAGATGAGATCTTCCTTTTACAACTTAATGCCAAAGATTTAGAACTGAAAAGGATTTTTGTAGATTACCTAGTCCAAAGGTTGTATATAGGCCAGCTGAATCATGTCTGACCAACAGCTGTAGTTTATTTTGCCCATACCATGTTTTTATTTAATTAGGTGCAAAAATTTCAAATTATGGAATTTCATATAAAATCCTATTTTGGGGGTTTCTCCTGAAAAATTGAGAGATCTGGCAATACTGAATCTTAATTCCAACAGGGAAACAATGGGCAGGAGCAATAGAGTAGATGCCTCAAAGGAGGCAGTTGATGTGGACTCCAAATTGCCATAGTCCTTACTACTCCATCATTTAACATTGAGCTTTTATCACACATGAAGCTGCTGTTTTTCTCATACTTGACCCATTTCACCCATTTATGATGTATGCCTGGCCTCTGTAAGTGTTTTAGACCCATGATCTAGCCCAAGGCATCGTCAGAGATTTCACCAAGGCCATGTACACAGTTAGTGACAGAGGGAGGGTTAGATACCAGGTCTCCTGAATTCCAGGTCACTGTTTCTGTTGATATCCCATATTTTCTCTGATGGAACCTAATCAATTGCTCCCTGTTTAAACATACATTGTTTAACATTTTTAAAGGGAGAATTCCATCCTTAATGAGTTTCAGACTGTGCTTATCTCTATATGGATATCTTCCCATTGCAATTACAACATCAGCACTCTGACCCATATTCCTCAGCTGACTGTAGGTTTCTGCCTCTCTTGCAATCAAGACAAACTTGGTCCATTCCTTTCTCCTGACCTCATAAGTTCTGCAATGTCTCCCTATCTGGAAAATTCAATGGTGTCCAGATGAGACTGCTGACACAGATGCCTGTCTCCCTGGGATAAGGCACATTCTTGTACCTTCAATGCAACCTGAATGGAAGGACTTGATGCTGTTACGTTGTGCTACAGCATCCAGATGGAATATCTTTCTTTGCTCCCTTCTAACCATGTACCTTTACTTCAGAAAGACACAAAGAGATACACAAGACACCAATGAACTGACAGAAAAAAAATGAACTAGAGTGGGTTGGGGATTACCACAGATGGCTTAAAATATTTTCAAATATCTCTAGGAAATTTTTAAATGCTAGCAGCATAAGCCCAAGCAGTTCAGGGTAAAAAACAAACAAACAAACAAACAAAAAAAACAAAAAACATCTGAATGTGAGAAGGCATGGAGTGGGAAAGGAACTTTCTTTCAATTTACAGAGCATCTAAAAGGCAGAGTCAAAATAACACACTCTTAAGCTAAGTATGGCCTGTGTGCAAAAGGTGACCACATCAGTTGGTCCCATACCAATTTTCACAATGCAAATCCAGATAGCAAACATTGTCTAATGAAGTCTTATCAATGGTACCATACACACATTTGGAGCACAGGTACATGGCATATGTTCATCTTGGTAGCATTTAAGATTTCAGATAAGAATTTTCAGATGGTAGGCAGGGAAGCCAAGAGTGGGAGGGAATGAGAGAATCATTTAGAGTCAAAGTATCAGTCTTGTAAATGTTAGCTTCATCTTTCTCTGCACAAGTGCAGGGGCAGAGTGAAAGCGGGAGAGGAGAGGAGAGGAGAGAAGAGATGAAAATTTACTCACCTGATAACAGGTCCCAAGAGGATTAGATGCATGAACAATGATAGAGGCTTGTCTTTGGCCAGGTCTCTGTGGACAAAAATGAGTGTCAACTGGACCATAATGGATGAAAACATAAAGAAGGAAAAGGTGTATGCCATCCAGTAGGTCTCACTATTCTTTTGATAGAATCTAACCATGTACAAGGCAGATGCAGCCTCCCCGCAGTACAAAAAGGTGGAGAAAATGATGCCAAATGGAAAGGTAAACCGGGGGTTGCCCCCACGGATAACATCTTCCTCCAGAGATGAAATCGGATCCACACTTGGCTCCTCAGGAATTTCATAAACTCGGTCCATTGTCAAGTCTCTGGCGTTTTGGTCTGGTCTTCAGAGAACCTTCTCCCCACCTCCTAAGAGAAACCTGTAGTCACTGCAGTCCAAGTACTGATTAGGAAAGCTGTCGAGGCCAATTCCAAATGGAGATCTACTAGTTAGAGCAAGAAAAGCCTCTTTTCTAGTCTCAAATTAGACTTGTTGGAGTCTGGGATGGAGAGCCCAGGAGTACCACTTTGAACTTGATTCTTGATTGGCTCAGAATTCCAATCAATATATGTGCTGTAAAACTTGGATGACGCAAAAGCAAGCAAGCATTTTAGCGCCCTGTCCAAAGTCCAATTCCAGGCATTTGAACGACCATGGAGACCACTGTTTCCGTGGGGACAACTTTCTCAGCCTCCCAGCGGAAAGGATAGCCACTCAGTGGGGCACCAATTCTCAGCACCTCTTCTCCAGAAGTCCTGACCAATGTACCATTTCAAATTAGCTGAGAACTGAGCATGGGTAGCAAAGGGGGCACAACCTGAGTGGTTCAATATCTAGGTGGCACAGTTATTGCTTGGATGTGGCCACCAGCTCGATGTCTGACCAGGTACTCTCTCAGGGCCCACACTCAAAGAAGGGTTCTCAGGAACGCTCCTCCAGTTTCACAAGCTCCACCCCCAAGGAAGCTAGCCTCGAGCAGGAGCAAAGCTACAACACTGTCCCTGAGCGCAGTCTTTGGGGAGAAAAACCCGCATCGCCCGCAACAGGATTACTGTAGCGCTACAAAGAAAGCTGGAGGGGCTTCTTTCCCATGAAGAAACTTTTGCTTGTGAGAAGCACGATGCGTGTGGTGCCAACCTGATCGGGCAGAAGTCGCTGAACTTGAGTGCCGTCTGCTGCCAGGGTCCTAGTTCAGCTGCGAGAGGATGGTGGCTGCAGGAACTGAGGCACTGAAGGGGGGCTGGCGAAATGGGAGGGACAAGTGGGGCTCCGCAAAGCCAGCCTGTGAGTTCCAGCGCAGGATGTTGGATGTGGAGAGGCGCGACAAAAAAAGGCTTGGACCAATCTTCAGAAGCACTTCTCACTGCGACTCTCCGACCCAGAGGGAGCCATGGCTATCCTCTTCCCCAAAACAGCAGACACCCACTTCGACCCCGCCCTCCTGAACTAGCTTGCTCCCACACCCGCTCAACCCACCGGTTACACAGGTGTGTCTCCAGGCCTCAGGGTTGAACCTCCCTAGGTCCTATTGCCCTCCAGGTAATACTACGGTGGGGTTGGGGGAAGACCTGGGAGGCAATTGGCCCTATGAAGAGGGAAGACAGAAAAAGATGGGGGGATATCAAGACTCAAGGTTAGCCCACAGATACTGAAAGCTCATATTATATGCCTTGATTTCTCCACTTTCAAAATGAGACCAGGATAGGAACTTTAGAATGAACTTACACGTCTTTGGCTGGAAGGTTCTGAAGAGGTGCTAAATTCTAAATAAACTAGAGAGGAGCCAAGAGAGCTGTTAATAAAAACTAAGAAGGGTGTCTTAAAGAGTTCTGAACATTGCCTAGATTCTTAAGAACAATACTACTCCATCTCACTGAGCTTTTCTTTTCATATGTCTTCATTTGCATAATTCTAAACCCTAGAGAAAAAGAGAAAACATCTGCATACTGGTAGTAATATAAATGTAGCAGAGCCTGTGCCAACCTTCTTTTGCTGCAGGAAATTAGTGAAAACAATGTATGTGAGGAGTAGCCAAGTAGCAGCCACCAAAATGATGAAAGACTTAGTCTTGTCGTGTTGGTTTTGCTCCTGGGCTGACTCAAAGACTGATCAACTTCTAAAGTTGTTGTCTTTGAAATAGTCGCCCCATCCTGGTCTGTACCTCTGCTACCAGCTGGGTATCAGGCTGATCTTTCCTTTTTTCTGTTTCACAGGCAGCTCAACACAGAACATCTCACACATGGCATTGATTGGTTGGGACTTTCCAACTAGCATAAGATTCTCCACCAACAGTATATGATATTGAACCTCTTAGGGGTTTCTTAGGATCCTATTCTCAAGATGGAACCCAGCTAAGGTGACAAACTCATCTTAGTTTGCTGAGATAGGATGAGTTGGTCACCCTAACACTGGAGACTGAAGCTAGGAAGAATGTAGAATCCCAATGTTTTTCCTTTGCCTTTTCTCCTTCCCTGTGCCCTCATCACTCTCCAAATATATAAATCTACAAGGCCTTCCTACTTTGTTCCAAAACAACTCCTTTTGTCTGCCATTCAAGACTCTATGATTACCACACTAGTACCTCCCTCCCCAACTGTATTGCCCACATTCTCTGTGCTCCAGTCCAGCAGGTTTTCTCACTTAATCATACTTGCCTTGCTCACTCCCATCTCTGTGCCTTGTTGAGGCAATTTATGGCCCCCTTCACTCTTTCTCTGTAGTCCAAACCCTAATATTCCTTTAAGGGTCAGCTCAAGTATAGGTATACCTCATTTTGTTGTCCTTCACTTTATTGTGCTTCACACATGTTGTTGCATTTTGTTTTGTTTTGTTTTGTTTTAATAAACTGAAGGAAAGATCCTCCACCAGCAAAAAGATTATGACTCACTATACTGTGTTTGTCTGGAACTGAGCCAGCAATAGCTTCAAGGTATCCCTGTATTACCTCCTCCAGGAAGCCTCCTCTCACCTCCCTAGCCCTCACTTTTCCCTCTGACTTTGTGCTACTGGTACATGCTCTCTTGTCCTAATCCTTCAACAACTTCTGTGTTTGCCTTGGCTCTCCAACAGAAGTGTAGACCCAGGGAGGAATGCACAATTAATGTTTATTGTAGTTCTTGTTGATAACAATAGTGATTGACAAATGGTAATGATGCTTTCTCCCCATGCTTCCTCCAGGAAACAATGCAAGACTCAGGCACACTCATCTCTAAAAGCTGTAACCACTGTAATGAGGGTACAAAGTTCCTTGGGACACCCACTGTCTCAGTCATTCATCTCACAAAGGATGCCAGCCCACACGATCTGTGCCTTCTCAAAGTTCCTGCAGTGCATTTTTGTCAATACCACAGTTCAGCACCATATTACCAATTATTTCAAGTGTATCAATTTTCACTCCACAACTAAATTACCATATGTTCCTTGAAGGCAGAGCTCCTGCTGTTACACTTTTTCAGGATTCCCCCATGGCTGGTATATACCTGTAAATTCCCTGACATCTGATCCCCCACACCCACCACCTTCTCTATTTTCAGTCCCAGGACTCTCTGGCGCTCTAGGTCACTAAATCCTCTGGTCTCTTATTTCCCTGTTCCTTTTGCCCTGCTGGAAGAAACTGAGAATGTTTATTGTAGTTCTTGTTGATAACAATAGTGACTGACAAATGGTAATGATGATGAAGCTTGCCCTGTGCTGTCCAACTCTCTTTCCTCTTTCAGACAATCTTCAGACTTCAGTCCTTTACTCTTCTTAGGACTACAGATGGGGGAAATGTTGACAGTCAGGAGACTGCAGAGGCCCTGGGAACTCCTTCCCCAATAAGAGCACTGATCTCCCAAGGATTGGTCAACTGAGGTGATACCCTTAGGCTGCCTGTTCCCTGAATGCTTTGGGGTCAATTTGCTCTTCCTTTTGAAGAACCACAGTTCTGCAAGAAAATGTAACCCAAGATTTGACTCCTCACCCACCCCTACCTCCAACTCTTAACTCAGCAGGAACAGAAAATGGGACTAAAAGCTCTCAGTATCTTTATAAGCATTCAGAAACCCTCTGAATAATATAAGACTTGGGGATATGTTTGAGCTTTCAAAGCCACTGCAACCAAAGCTAACTTGTAAGGGGTACCTGGCATTCTTAAGGGGAGAGGAAAGAAAAGAGAAAGATGTTCAACAAGTGGCTGATAGTCCAGTCACAGAACACTAGTTGGTGGAAGGTGATATGCAAGGCCCAGAGAATCAATAGCTAGTACAGAAGAATGGCTTTCCTCTATAGAATGATCAGTTTGGATCGTTAGAATCCTTAAAAGATACCTGATGCAAAATCATTCACTGTTTCCTCTGGGCCTTTTATTTTCCCTATAAGCTCCCTGAGGACCAAATTTTTTGCTGATTATATTCTAAGCTACTCCCTTGTCAGTATCCTCCATAGGTGGCATCTGGGCTTGGAGTCAAAATGCCAGTAAGTTCCCTTTAGCCCTCACCCCTAGCATTTTAATTTTTTTTAAATCAGTTAAAATGACTATCTCAGCATTGAAGGGAAAGAAGTACTACCACAAAATGCAGCATGGAATTTGGGGATGAAGGGTTTGCCAGGCACTAGGCAAGCTCTACATACCTTCCCTGGTGGAGGGAAGGGATAGGGGAGAGAGTTTGTAATAGATATGATTCATTCTTATATAATACCTGTATTGAGATAAATTCACATACCATACAAATTACCCATTTAAACTGTACAATTCAGAGATTTTAGTGCAAAGTTGTGAGCCATTACCACTATCTAGTTTCAGAATATTTTCATCATCCCCAAAATAATCCCAGTGCCCATTAAACTCCCCCAATTCTCCCCTCCCCTTAGCCTAGAAAAATCACTAATCTACTTTTTATCTCTATGGGTTTTTCTACTCTGGACATTTCATATAAATAGAATCATACAATATATGGCCTTTTGTGTTTCTGGTTTCTTTTGCTTGGCATAATGTTGTTGAAGTTCATCCATCTTGTAACATGTACCAGTACTTCATTTCTTTATATGGTGAATTATATTCCATTGTATGGATATAACACATTATGTTTATCCATTAATCTGTTGATGTATATGAGGGTTTGTATTAGACAGGGTTCTTTAGAGAAACAGAATGGGGAGGGGAAGGGAGAGAGATTTTAAGCAGTTGGTTCACACAGTTGATACAGGTAAGTTTGCCAGTGCTGGTAACCTAGCCTCATGCCCAGAGAGCAAGCAAAAGCAGAGAGGAGGGGCCCTTTGGGCAGTGCCAAATTGGCTGGGTAACCAGGCTAACACAGCATGTGAGGACAGATGCT